GCACAAACCCAGCATTATGAAACCACATCCAGGAAATAAAATAGTGATTTAGATAATGGCCAGAATGTATTGCTACTTACACGTAATTAAACAAATGCTCAATTTACACTTGGAAACATGAATGAATGTTGATTAACCCCAGCCCAGTGGCTCTGCTGGCGACACGGGGACGTGGCCACACTGCCGGCAGGGCGGGGAACGCGGCACAGCCAGACCACAGGCACACGGGCAGCTCCAGCTTGGCAGAGCAGCGCCAGGACCTCACCCTGCCACAGCCATCCTCCCACTGCCGCGTGGCCACAACAAGCTCCCGGGCTGCACCATCACGCCCAGCTCCTCACAGACCGCAGCAGGGCCGGCGCAGCACCACGGTAAAGGCATCGCCTCCGCTGGGCCGGGTTCAGTGAGCTCTGCCGCCGCTCCTGCACAGCCTTTGTCTCCCGTGCGCCTCCTGCCCTCTAAATGCGCCAGTTACTATGGAGACGTCGCCTTGTTAGTGAGGGAGGAGCCTAACAAAGTCCACTTGTGCAGGAAAACACTATTTGCTGCTGCAGATCCAGACGTGAGCAACGCAGGCAGGAGCACCAAGACCCAGGGCTCCATCTCCCCATCCTTGTTCCCACCACAGCTGGTCCAGGCCCTGCCCGAGGCTCCCAGTCAGGCAAAAGGAACCACCCAGCAAGGCGGGATCCTCCGCCTAGACACAGTGCAAAGCCCAGGAAAGACCGGAGTGCCCGGAGCACGTGGCTCATCTGGGGGGACAGGACACGCCGGGTCTGGCCATGGAGGGGACCTGCTGTGCTGGGACAAGTCGTGCCAGCACAGTGAGGCAGGACCTCTACTCCCGGGGACCGAGGTTCATGGATCGTTGACTCAACAGGCCATAATGGCTCCATCTATCGGGGTCAATACAGGCGCCTTTGACACATGATAGACAATAATTGCTCCTGCTTAGAGACTTTTTAGTTCATGGATCATTGACCTGATGGGCTGTAACAGCTCAAAGGAGGCTGTGACACGCTGTACACCCCTGCACCTGGAAGCCCTCAGGAAAGAGCAGCACAAAGCCATGGCCCTGGCACATGAGCGGGAACCGAGGGCATGCTGGGCCCATGGGGGGCAATTGCCAGGAGCAGGGCCGTGGCCCGAGCCTTAGGGAGAGCGCTGCAGTTACTGGAGCAGAAGGGCACTGATGGAGAGGAGCGGGCTGCCAGCATCACCAGAGCCCAAATCCTGCAGCCTGGCAGCCGTGGGTCTCTGTGAGCCCACCTTCATGCCCTGCCGCACTGCCCAGCAGTGCTCACCCAGCCAGGTGGGCACCGGCCTCATGCAGCCCAGCAGCCATGGGCGAGCAGCAGCAGGAGGCGGCCACGGATCACCCCCTTGCCAACGTCCCCGGCGCCGTGGTCTGGGAGCAGCACACAGGAATGGGCTCCCAGCCGGGGGCTGCAGCTCCTCGCTCCGACAGCAACTTCCAGGTATATGATTTAATGAAAGGCACAATAAGAAGTGAAACAATTAGAATTTCTGCCTCATTATCATGGTAATCTTATCAGTCGGATAATGAGGTATTAATGGAGATTTAATGTGCCTCTCATAACAGAATCCCTTGGAGAAAACACATAAGGAAATTGCTGTAAATCCACTTAATGATGGAAAGGTCCCCAAACACCGTATTCCAGAGGATGAAAAATGCCGGATGCAAATGAGAGAGAATCAAGGTCAATAACACTGCAGGGACCGCGCTCACTGCGGCCCCGCGCGCAGCGGCCGCACCGGGCGGCAGAGCCGACCCCGCTCCGCTCCCGGGGCTGGGGGTGCCGCGCCGGGCCGGGCGGGGGGAGCGCCGCCGTGCCGCCCGTGGAGCCGGGCCGTGCCGCACCGCCCCGCGCGGCCGCCAGGGGGCAGCTCTGCCCGAACGCGGCCTCCGCCCGGCGTTCCGTGCGGAGGGCCGGGCCGGCGAGCACGTGGCGCCCGTGCAGTGCCGGCTGCTCCAGCCACAGGGCGCGCGCCGGGTTCTGCGGCTCCGGGCCCACCGTGCCCCCGAGAGCGCTTAATAGTTCAATTCTGCCATTTTCCCAAAGCTAAAAAAAGGATCGCGCGTGGCAGAGCGCTTTCAGGCGCTGTTTCCTGCCCGCTGCCAGCGCTGAGAACGGTGACTGCAGGAAGCTCCCACCGACGGGCAGCGCTGTCCCGCGGCGCACAGCCGGCTTCTCCCGGCGCAGCTCGGCGGAGCGGTGCGGCAGCAGAGCGCGGTGCGCTGCTCGCGGTCCCCACGCAGCCCCACGGGCACAGCCCACAAACACGGACTCCAGCCAGGCCAACTGCTCTCCTTTTAATCAGTTTTACAGAATAATACATGAATAATCACGTTAGAGACAAGATGGGTTTCCTGTATACAAGATTGTGCAAGCTCGCCGATTTAGACGTATAAAGGCTTTACCAGTTTCAAATAGGAGAGGCAGTACAAAGCTTTTAAATAGAGGTAAAGCACAATTAAAAGGTACAGAACACACACTACGCACTCAGCAGAGGTTAATTCTCCAGTAGTACAGGCGCAACCAAGGCACCAGCTGTTCCCGGCTCAGAGCTGCCCGCCCCGTCCTGCTGCTGCAGCTCTCCGTCCTGCTGCCAGCCTGAGGCTGCACAGTCGGTGCTGCACACGGCCGCATAAGTTACACTCGATTTCACACACACATGCTTCACTTGCTTGAATCTTTGCTGCTAAACAGGTCTGCCCTCTCCTGCTGCTCCTTTTCTGCCCCACCAGCCTTCCTCCACACGCTGCAGTTTGAAAGCAGCAGTGAGTTCTCAAACCTCTGCTCCAATTTGGCTTCAAGAACGTTAACGTTTTCCAGCAATACAAACCAATACTGTGCTTACCAGAAACCCAACACAGGAAACAGGATCGTGGCTTTTTTTCCTGAAAATTATGGCAGTTTCATTCAGCATTTGGTAGTATAAGGTCTTCAAAACAAAAACCTCTGAACTAAATAGGCCACACCCAATCCAACTCTCCTTAAAGAGGATCTAAAAAAGCCTTAAAGAGAATTCCTAAGAGTAACAAAAAAAAAGTAATTTCTCAGGGGTGAAAGGACCAGCCCTTTTCTTTCACTTCTCCTCCTGAAAAAATGAAACCACCACCTCAGCAACACTAACAGGGACAGTCATGGCACCGTTTAACTCAGCAGCTCCTCCGGATGCACCAACAAACAGCCCTTGAGCCTACAAACAACCTACTGCTAATGACCCCATACCTCTTCCCTCAGAACGCCCCATTCGCCCTTCAGTTGTTGAAGGCATTTGAAGAGAGAGCACCAAGTTTACAGAATCGGGTGTACGTGGTTGGCTGGCGCCTTTTGGCAACAGTTGTCACTTTTGGTCCTTTATGCACCGTCTTTTCACATTTACCATTGCACACCAAAATCTAACAACATCACTTTCTACACATTTAATTCATCATTCTAAAATAAAATGTTACAGGACACCAGGGAAAGTATTAATGTGATACAACAGGAAGGTTTTTAATTCTTCGGAAAACCAAATCCTCTAACTACAGCTAGCAATGCGACCTAAGGAACTTTCGAAGCTGTTTAAGAAAAAAAGCAAAGGGCAATTTTGCAATGAAGACTCTCAGCTAACCTGGGGCACATCAAAACAAACGCTGTTTTAAAAATGATTTTTTAGAATGACTCCAGTTCTTTTAAGTATTTTTCTACACAATGTAATAAAGATTGCAAAGGAAATGGTTCTTACCCCTTCCATAAAGGAGAGCAAATCTGAAAGACATGATGGTGCTGATCAGCCCCCATCTGCCAGCAGGCAAAGGGCAGCGATGCACAGGGCGATCACCAGCTTAGTGTCTCTGTGCCATCCTTTAAACGAGTACAATTCAGAACAACACCAATTTAGGGATCAGATATTCTCCTTAACTAAAACCCAAACTGCAGGACTAAAGGAACTTTCATACGTTGGTCTTAACATCTGGTACCCAAGTCATAATTAAATATTAAGGAGACTTCACTATAAATAAGTTTATATTGCTTTTAGAGATGATCTTGCCATACCTTCCAGGGCATATTTGTGCTTCACTTCTGAATGTTATTGGTCAGGGCTGTGCTTGCAATATTAAGTTACGTGTTCAGCACCAATAACCCATCAAGGCTAAATAACTGGAGTATTGCAGTGCTCCACACTGAGTTACTGCAGTAAGGCAATCAGAGGAATTCCATTTCTATCGAGTGTTGCTCCTCCACAGAATGAAATCTCTCAGAGCAGAAAGACTCTAAATAAAAGTTCCCATTCCTCTCTCTCGCTTAGGATTAGCTTGGCAAAAGTGCCACAGCAAATTACGTGTTAGAAGAGTCCTAGTAAAGAAGTTTCTTTAATGATGCCTTGACAAGTAGCACAGCCGAACCAAGCACATGACAGTTTGCATAACTTGTTCTCATTTCAGTTAACCAAATTATTTTCTGGAGTACCAGTTGTGTACAGGTTTTAATCATCAGAATGCACGCACCCACAAAACCAAAACAAATGTATTTTGCAACAAACATGAGAAGGATTTTCTTTCCTTTACCACTCACAGACACCACACCTTAGCGTGCCCTTCTGTCAGAAGTGCGCTCCACACTCCAGGAAGAGCGAAGAATAATACTGACATGAAAAAGATAAAGGCTCACTGCCCTTTTTCAGTGTAACTGTAGCTAAAAAAGAACAGCAATTGCTTGTATACACGTGACAACCACTGGCCATCACTCAGACTGTTTCATTCATGAAAAATCCACGTGGTATTGTGCATAAAAACTTCTTTGAATTCATAATTGTCAGTTTAAGGGAAAGGTGGGGTGGGAAATCTATAAAACACCCTGAACTGATGTCATGATATGTTTCATAAAGAACAGTGTTACATTTTAAAATATTTTATATGAACAGTAAAACTTGCACTGCTGCATAGCAGACAACATGAAGAACATTTAGTAAAAACATTCACTGAAACCCCTGGTATATGTATTTAATGTCACTAATCAAAATATATATTACAGCCCAAGGTTCTGTTAAGGATCTCTGTTTGGGGTTTGTACAGTATACACAATATTTCAGAAAAAATATTACAGTAAGGTATTTTATTACTCCTCTTTTATATTAGGCTTATCTACTGTAACTTACAGACCCTCTCTCCTTTACATATTCAAACCTTTATAGTGCCCTAATGCCCTAGCCAAAAAGTGTTCAGCTATCTAACAAGCCCTGTCTATTATAAATTCCAGTTTCAGAAATTTCAGTACTCTTAATTACATTTTAATAAATAGTTCCATTTGCCCTTTTTTAATCTTTGCCTTTTTGAGGAAGTCCTTTCATTTACCAAAGCACAGTATGTAACAACCTGTTAGAGGTCAGAGAGGCTTTTCCTTGTTTATTCAAAGGATAATGAGTCCAAAGATAACTGCGATGCATTAAATATAGTTATATACTATTTACACTGTCCTCTCTGATTTTCAATTTAGGTGAGATACAATTGGTAACTAACGTCACCTACTACAAACTTTCAGTGTGGCTGGTGTTTTATTAATAAAAGGTGTATTGAGCTAGAAAGTACACTAAGTGGTTGCCCTGATTATTCTTGTTTCAGTGTTCCATTAGAAATGAAGTGAATTATTCACGTGAGTAAGAATTCAGGAAGAGGGGTGGTGGAAAACCCACAAAGACTTTTCTGTATGTTTTGAGATTCCAAAATACCTGAAAACTGTGGTCCCTTTTTCAGTGCCAGTATCTATAGGGGAGAAAAATGCAACCAAAAGAAGAGGAAAACCTGTTAAATTAATTTGATTAGTAAAGCTGTGTTTTAAAATGCCTCGATTCTGTACAGTATTATACAATCAAAGTCTTTTCTTAGCTTTTGCAGCTGTTGTACATTCTTACAGACTCTTCTGCTAACAGTCTGCCCATGTATGTGCTGAGTTACTTGCGATCATCAATAGTTTTAATGAATTCAACTGCTGCTGTGAACTGCATCCACCAGTAGGATTCTTCTCCAGATAAGCAGTTGGCATAGAAGCTACTTATGTACTGAACAGTGGACAGCAAGCAAGGTGGGTTTGCCTGAGGGTTAAAGAAGAAAAAGACGCTTACAGTTTGTTTTCAAAACTAAACTCAGAGAATTAAGCAGCAGAATAAAAGTACAGTTCTATTTCTGCAGTGATCCTCACCAGCACCTAACACAGGATTATGTAATACAGTGTAAGGCAGTGACTGTCTATCCTGAGCACCATCACTTCCCCCCTCAGGAGGAATGTGACCAATGAAAGGAGCATTTCTCTAATGCAGAAAAATGACAGGCAGGCCATGAAAAGAAGGAAATCACAGGCAGAACTTATCAAGTCATCACAGACTTCAGCACATTAATCTGTTATTTGAGCATTTTATACATCACCTACCATTCTCCAAACTCTCATGTTTCAAAAAAAAAAAAAAAAAAAAAAAAAGCAAGTCAGTATTAATGTGGATGTTGGTCATCAAAGAGAACAACATTAAGCACGAACAAGTGATAGGTGCTGGCAGACACTTCTCAAAAAGAAAAAAAACAACCACCCCAAAGATCAACAATGAAAACCACTGCCTCCACACCTCCAAACAATACTTAGCCCTCAATTTCCTTGATTCCAACTGCAAAGTTTACTTGGATTCTAAAATCTTAGTTGTGACCACATTTCTACTCAAGCCCGCTGGATTAGCTCTCCCTTTATAGTCTAGCATGCTCCTAGTTACCCAAATGCATTATCATTTTTCCTAATATTTGCTTGCTTACTAAAAGAATTAGTTGTAGTTTGTGATCTCTGCAGAAGAACTCACCTTTATGAGAACAAAGACCAGAACAGGAACAAAGTCATCTGCCCCAGGTACTGAATCTTCATTTGCCAGGCTAAGCAGGTTCATAATGGTTGAGCACATTCGCAGGATACACTGCACTTTGTCTCGGGGGGTTTTGTAAGCACTTATTGTACGGATTTCAGACTGTGCAGATGGCCACGGTGCCTCCCGGAGATACACCTAGGAGAAAGAAACCCAACAACAGTTCTCATTTACCTGTGCTACTACTGAACACCACAGAGGATCCAAGGTAACAGAGGCAGGAGCAAGGCTCCGGATAAATGAGAAACTCTGTGTCAGTATGGTTCCATTGCACACAGAACAAAGGTGGCTTCCTGCTATACTATAATGAAAAATCACAAGGAAATTGCACTGTATGTGCAATTAACATAATTAGACTGTACTTTCTCCTGACTTCTACAGTACCCTACTTTGAAACAATGTAGATCTGTATGTCTGTCTTCCACACATAAGCAGCTTTACGAATGCTTACCATTTTCAGTCACACAGCTCAAACACTGAACTAGGAAGACTGCAAGCATTCAGCCACTCACATATTTCTTAAGTCTTCCAATCTAATTTAATTACTTTCTTAGCCCTGAGAAAAGTGAAAACACCAGGCAAATTGATAGATGTGTCAAGGTTCCTTTCATGATGGCTAGTTCTGAAAGCTAATTTGATAACTACAAACCACAGTCATAGCGTATAAGTCATGTTAGAAATATAAAGGGTTGAAATCTTGTATTCTAAAGGAGACTATCTGAATGTTTGCATTTTATTGCAGTATAATATTACTGCTTCAATCTTACCATCAGGACAGAAGTGGTAAAATTCAAAGAAGAAAAAAAGAATTTCAAAAGATCAGTGGATGACCCCGAAGTATTGGTGCAGTGTTTTTCCTGCAGGGTATTTCAGCTGTATGGCTATAAAAGTAATGTTTCAAAATGTAAAGCAAAACAATCCTCTCCTCATCACAAACACAATCAAAACCCAAAAACTCCAACGTACAGAGTGAAGGAAAAGTTCTTACCTCGGGAATCTGAAGTGCTTTGTGGTTGGCAGTCACCACTTTAGATAACCTCTGTATGTGCTCGTGAAGGACTCTAAAAACAAACATAAAAAAAAAAAAATCAGAATAAGAAGCAAGTAGCAGCCAGAAGACCCCAGGAGTTTCCCACTAGTTTGTTATACTACAGGAGAGATCTTCAGGAATACATATCATGATGATCTCAGCTAACAGAGATTAGGTTAATAAGCCACATAGAGGATTTTCCCATATAATCAACTACAAAGTCAGTAAACCATTCAAAAAAAGATGTTCAATAAAATACAGCAGAAACCCTAGATGGAAAGTACTGTACCAAAACAGAAAATGGAAGAAAGGAATCCTGAAACAGATTTTATTCATTCTCACAGCACACACACAGAACTGAAAGTCTGTATCTTAAGTCATTACATTTTTAACTTTATTCTGTTTTTGCGGTCTTTGCAAACACATGATGCTAAAATACTTCTTGGTTCTTGTACAAGACATTCTGAAATGAAACGTAAGTTTGTAGAGCATGGCTGCCTTAAAAGAATCAAGTCTGCCACATTAAGACCAAAAAGCAGCCATCTGCACCAATAGCAAAAGAGAAACCAAGTATTTCAAACTACTGTGACTTACTGGTCACGTAAAATATCTCCATCCTGATTAGGGTAGAATGCAAGTTTGAAAATACGATTCATCACACTGCGCTCTATAGCTAATTGTGCATCCTGAAGCTGTTCTTCACTGGCATTCTGCCATATGGCATCCTGAGCCATTGCTCCATATAAGAACTGAAGAAAATCTTCAACTTGGGCTGTTTTATCATCTGCTGCCGTAAGTTTCTGGAAATCTGATAAAAACGTAAAAAGAAAACACATTCAGTTAAGGTTAAAAAAAACAACATTATTTCCAATAAGCTTTTCTGGAAAGAGCTCAGAATCCATGTTGTACTTCTTGCCTGGCACCACCGGGGCTCTGTGTTGCCTGCACCCCCATCAGGGAAATTCAGGAGAGAGCACTTGAATACAGGAATTAAAGCAGAAGTATGTAGAACACAGTCATTTAAGCATACCCTCACAATACTCTACTTGATACTATGTTAATCACTTCCTCTGCAGTACCAGTTCTTGCCACCCACAGAGATAACACCCAGAATAATCACTACAACAGTTGCTGGTAGGAATCAATGCATGCAAGGCTGTCAGGTGCCAGAGGAAAAAAAAAAAAGAATCAAGAAAACTCATCTGTACCATTTTTTAGCCCTACCTTTATTAAATAAGTATAGTTGCAACATTAATGTTTATACAAAATACAGAACAAGTGGCACAGCCAAGTTAATGCAGCATGACCAAATCACTGGCAACTCATCAGCATCGTATTTATAGCATTCTGTACCAGAAGACAACTGCCACTCACATCTGCCAGCAGCCTAAATGCCACAGTTGCCAATTTCTCTTTTAGATCATCCAGGAATAGATGCCTCCTTTTAGCCCAATGAAAGGGCTTAACTCCTTCCTTGGTCACTGAATCTTAATAGTAGAACTTTGATGTCAGTAGACAAAAATTCTTGCTAAAGACCAGCCTATATAAACACATTTAATACATAGCACTGTATGCTGCAAGAGCAAGAACTGACTCCAAATTTCTTATATCTTCATCAAATTTGTGCATATGTAACACAGAAATTATTTCAAGAAACTCTGTTTTGAGAGTTGTCTTACTGTGCCAATATACTTTATGCTATGATGTTTCTGTATCTTTGGCCCATGTGATTCAAAGTACTACATACACTTAGTACTAAGTACAACCACAGCATCTGTACTGACAACAGAACGCTGCAACTTAATTTATCATTTCTTAATTTGTATGTTGATCCACAGTAATTAAAAGTATCCATGCTTGGAGCAGATGCTTGATAACATGATTCTGTGTAACCTTTTAGGACAGGGAAAGTCAAATTACTTTCCTTCTCCTAGCCTATGAAAAATGGAAACAGCTGACACCAACACACTGTTAGATCACAATAATATGTACATTTGAGCTGAATATGGTAGGAATCTACTCCTCAGATTAGAAGTTGTGCTTTGAAACATTAACCCAAGCTAGTACATAAGTAAGGAGTGTAGAAACAAAAATAATCCACAGTCTCCATTAATCTTACCTTGAATAAACTCCCTGATTTTCTTTTCTTTGCTCTCTAGCAGTAACCTCACACACACTGTAGTGAAGTATCTGTTGGCCACTTCTTTATCTCGCAGAACTCTTTGCAATAGCCTTTCCAAGTGTGCCTGTGTTGTCTGCAGGCCTTGGCGGCATCGAGTTAAATAAGCAATATACGGAGCTCTTTTCCTGAAAGAAATGTTCTACATTAGATTCACAGAAAAGATAGAAAATAATAGCTTTATAAACTGCTAAGCTGTAATGCAAGAAGAGTCCTCAACCTGTTGCTTTTAAAACAAAGATAACACCTGAATTAGGAAGTTCAGTCTTATACAGACTTCACTGCCCTTGCAGCACTGCAGAATGCAAGACTAAAGCAAATTCTGAACTGCATCTCTCTGGGTGCAGAGCTGGATATTAGCCACAAGCTGATTTAATTCAAGTTTATTACTATTTAATACAAGTCATTCCCAGAAAGAGGACACAACTTCATCGTTCTGTGGAAAAGTAGAAGTGAAATAAACTTATTTGGTAAGGTACAGTTTAAATAAAGGATCTTTCTAATCTGCTAGTGAACAAACGTATGCATTCAGAATCCCATTAGTAAGATACAGAATAAACTACCTATAGTCCTCTGCAATAGAGGCTAGCAGCTTCCGACAGGTCCTGTTATCAAAGCGGCTTACACACCGCATTGTTTCTTGCAGCTGGGCCATCAAGTTCTTGTCTTGAAGGTTAATAGCTTCAGCTAGCTGAACTTTCAAGAAGCACACAATTTCATTATCTAACATAGAATAAGGGAAAATTATTAAGGAAATGAAATATGGGCACAATCAAAACAAAAAAAAAATGTTCTTCAATATGGGAAACACACATGCAACAGTTTAAACAAAAACTTCCGCATAGAAGCAATAAGTGTTCATTTATTAAGTCTCTGAATCGTCCAGATATCAAGGAATACGTTTTTCTATCATTACCTTATCTGTATTTGAGAACTACTCTGAAATGTAAAGAAGAGTAGATAAGGAGATAGATTCACCTGTCTGCAAATAAACGTATAGTGGAGGAATGCAAACAAGACATACAAATTAAGTCAAAGGGAAGACTCAAAGTCATTCAAGCCACTCTCTTGCTACTGTAGGTACTTCCCAACAGTACATGTATTTTGGGAGTCTGTTATGCAGCTTCAGGTTCTAACTGTAATGGGATACTTCATTAAAAAAAAAAAAAAAAGACCAGATTTAGTAGGCAACAGAAAAGAGGAGATGCATACAATACAAAACTTCTGCACGTGTAAAGAAAATTTACCTTCAGGATCTGTGTGATCCGGTAAACCATTCCTCGTTGAATGTGTCAACATTGGAAAGGCAACAGAATCTGCTGAACAGAGAGCCAACCTCAATTTCTTCTTTGCATCCCTTAAAGAGGAAAAACATTTCCTTAACAAAGCTGCTGTGAAGATTGCTTCTTCATAAAGCAATCCACATTTTTTTCTTTTTCTTTTTAAAATACAGACTAAACGTTACGTAACATAATTTGAACATACCAGTGTTGTCAAGATGGAAGAGTATCACCTCGTTAGATATACCATCTAGACCAGTTTCACAGGAATTTTCCTAAACATTGTTCTCCTATCCCCCTCCCACCTCACCAGAAAAAACAACAGTTTGAGATGCTTAAAACCGAGAACATGTAGAAGTTTACAATTAAGGAGGACATTATTATTCACATTAATATTTTTTTGTGGGGAACTGATCACGTGGCTTCAGCTTTCAAATCTTCTTTGTGGTTAAGACTAAATTTGAAAGTGTATTTACCTATAGGAGAAAGCAGAACTTTGTGGCTGAGCTACTTGACTTGCAGAGTCTGGGAGATCATCTGCAGACATGTTTTGCAAAGCCTCATCACGTGGAGAGTCATGGACACTCTCACCATCCCCTGTAGTCTCTATGGAAAGGAAAAGTGACACTCGTGGAGTCAGAAGAACCTAGACTAACATCTTCTGTTTTATTCTTGTTAGTATAAGAGGAAAAATAAAGACAGGAAATAAGACAATTTGTCTAAGTTGAAAGGTCACATTAAAATACGCCATCTGCGAGTCCCTAAGAAGAAATTGCATCAGTTTAAGGCAATATGCTTCTTCAGTTTCCATTTTAAAAAAAGCAAACTGGTAAGAGATGTGCCAGTAACAAATCACCACCTCAGTGGCAACACAGATGACCCCTCTTCAGGAACATGGATTTCATTCCCAGTCTCAGAGGAACTACACCACAGGTTGTATGAGAAAACATTTCTGTTTTAGAGCTCACGTTATTACGCTGTCAGCACTACGTTTGTCTAGAAGACTGAAGTGTTTTTTATCTTTAAGAGGGAGAAACTATGTTGGTAAGGACTATAAACATCAGGTTCTCACCTCCACTGTCATAGTTTACTAAAGCTCCTTCACTAGGACTGGTTCGCTTAATTGCATTCCTGTATTTGTCCAGAATATCTTCTGCAGCTTGAGCCTGAGCGCTGAGCCTTGGGCTTGGATCATCTGGAAAAGTCATTTATAAACAAAAGGAGTAAGCCTTGGGTTATGCCAACTGAAAGCAAAATGCAAAAAAATGTACACCCGTGCATTCAGATTCTAGCCACAACAAATAGCTACTTGTGTTCCGTGTAACTACAGTTCAAATATAAAGTCCAAAGCAAAAGCAGGAGGGAAAAAAAGCACTATGAAAGTGAGCAAATAAAATCAGATTATTAGTATATTGATATCATACACGCAAGTGATTCTTGTATATTTGAAGGCCTCTAGAAATGAATATGGAAACAAAACTAAACACCCAGGTCCAAATCAAGTTTAATTTAGCACTTAAGGAACTACCATAGGCACGTGTCTGCAGCTATCCTTACAGCTCAGCTGTGATAAGGACATAGGCTTTTTAATGAACATCCTAAAAATAAATAAGCGAAGACCTGAGTCAAGATTCCAGTACAATTGATATTGACTGAAGCATGACAATTTAAAAGCAGTCTTCAAGGCAACAATCATCATTCACTTTCTTATTCAGAAAGCTAGTTGTGAATATTAAATACAACAGCCCATATCTTTCTGTAAATAGACACCTAATGGGCACTCTGGAAATCTACAGGGCACGTTACGAGAGAAAATTACTATGATAACATTATCCACATACCTTGTAGTGTTGAGTATCTGTCAGGTACCATATCATCTTTGTCTTTTTCCTGCTTTTCTTTCTTTCTAAATGGAATTGGAGCTGAAAAATACATGGTAACTTATCAGAGTCTATGCTGAGATAATGGCCAGACTGAAGAAACGTTTTAAGAGGACAGCTATTACTGTGCACCAACCTGATGTCAGTCTGATAAGTTGCTCAAAGTGAAACAGTAAACATTTTCTAGTGAAGTCAGTGAAGATACAAAAAAGGCAGCATGCCCTAACGTACCCAAACAAGATAGACAAGATCCTACCTTTGGGCATGGCAGACACAAAGCGTTTTCTCCACCATGGCTTGTTTCTGTCAGACTTCTCATCATCACTGTCTTTTCGCTCATCAATCTGTGAAAGAATGGAATTTATATTTTAATATGCACCATATCACATGTAAAGACTGAATTTCTCCTTGACATCTACAGGTTCTACTCTATCAACTGGAAAAAAAAAATCCAAACAGAACTACAGCAAAGCACAGAAAGCCAGAGCAGACTAAGTTAGAAACGTCCCTCCTGAAAAGGGAAGCTTAAGTATGAAAAGCCAAAACTGTGAAGAAAGATAGTTTTTTTAAATTGTTTCTCAGGATCCACAGCATTTTAAATTTTAACAATACAACCAAACTATTTCTCAAATTCCACTAAGTCACATGGAGCTTTTCCAGTAAATTTAAGAGGAACCAGGCATATTTAAGTCATTCTGAACACCTGTGGTTTTCACTTGTAAAAGACTATTTTAAAAAAGATTGCAGAAGTGTATTGTAATTCCTTGGTTAAACACATTTAATACCATTTTTCTCTGGCATGAGAAAAATAATTATATTTGGTACACTGGGAAAAAAAACTACCAAGTGATAAATAGGAGCCTCACCTCTCCCCTAGAGGAGTCCTTACTGGGAGATGAAGACGATGACTGAGATGTAGCCATCAAAACAGCCGTCCCTGTGGCTGGCATTGGAAGCTCCCTCTCCTCATTACCAGGACGTCTGTTCCACCCAGGATCACTCATAGGTCTCCGAACTGATGACACTATATCTGAACTCCTGCTGCGGACCAGCCTTTCCGGATAAGAGTGCCTCTGCTTGAATGCTTCTAAATCAGTTGGAATTAAAGTATGAGACCCAAAGTTTGGTAATCGAGCCTCATTACCTCCCACAGCTCCTTCCAAAATTGGTGGATCTGGCGGTGGGTGAGATGGTCTTGCATAGTGTACCTTAGGCCGTACAACAGCTGACACACCTGAGGTAATAAATATAAAGGAAGCCACACACATTTTTAATATTCACTGAAATAAGTTGATACTAGCACAGAAGTACTGAATGCCAATTTTTGGCCTTTTATTTCCAGCTTACCCTCATTCGATGACAAAGGATCAAACAATGCAAGCAAAGAATCTGTCTGAGAAGGAGGGGATGTCAACTGACTGGCTCCTGAAATACAGGCAAACAAAAGTTAGCACTGTGCAAAGAACTACCTACACATAAGGAACACTGGAAAAATATATCAATCCCAATGAGCAAGAGGATTACAGTCAGTGTAAATAAACAGAATTAGCAAAAGGTGATCTTAAATTGAAAGATCAGTCTCTAGTTCTACAGAATACTGGCCCCTTTGTCAAAGAAACAGTGCTAACAAATCAGGAAAACATTACGCTTCGTGATCAGCAAAGCTTTGAAACAGGAAAAACTGAGGAATTTTTCTTTCATTTTCAGCGCTTCTACCGTACTCCTACTAAGAAGGAAAATTTAAGGATTTTAAACTTGTAATTTTAACTAATGTAGTGAGAACCTATTTACAGGTATCTTACTTACCATGGGCTGTTTCATCCATGTCAGGACTTGTCACAGAATCTTTTCCCCCAAAGTCAGAGCTACATTCAGACCTGAGATCCTCAATCTTATTAGGAATATCTTCAGATGTTGCACTAATACCTTCCACGTAACAACAACAAAAAGAGAAGCACCTTTAATACTCTATCAGACAAAAGGAGGCAAAATCCTGAAGCTCCTAGAATGTTTGGTGAGCACAGTAATAATCAAGTCCTAACTCACAGCAGTAGTATCTAGAAACATTCTGAATTTCTATATTCCCAAAATAAGCTTTAATTATTTCTGCTTTATGTCTTCAATAGTTTTAACAGTAGCTATGAATACACTGAAAATTGGCATTAGAAAGATGCTTCATTCTGATAAATACTTTGTGGAAAACTGGGAGCTGAAGTATATATCTATACATATATATATATATGTTGATTTACTTAAAGCCTCATAATAAACAAAATGCAAGAAAGTCCAAATCAACACTCCACTGCTAACCATTGCTACTGCAGCACAGATCACTTTATGCACTTTTTTTTTTTTTATTTCTTTCGTAAGAAATACTGCTTTGAAAATTCGTGAATGAGTATGAAGAGTTACAACTAATTTTTCTCATTCAATTAAAGCAAGGGCAGCAGAGTACATGCTGATTGTGTTCTAATATAGTGATGTGTGTTCAGAGACAATTAAACCCACCTGAGACAACACTGAGGCCTGGTGTACTGGGTCGAGAACTGACCTCCCTTACATCTGTGTCATCTGATGTGCTACCCAGCCCAGAACAGCTTTCCAGTTCTTGCAGCCTTTCCTCCTGTTTTAGATCTGGGGCTTCTACAAATGGAGACAACAGAGAGAAGAGAGAAAAAACTATCATTACTCAATGTCGAGCTCCCTTAAAACTCACCCACAGAAGGAAGAGTGGGGAGCTTGATTTAGCATACCAAGTTTTAAGCTAACTGAACCAATTCAGCAAGATAGTGATGCCCCAACCGCATAAGCATTTGGCAAGTTTTTACTTAAGTATTCTATTACTTAGAGACAATGGTATACAACTTAACTAAAATGAACTGTGATCAAAGATAGCACTACTTAGCATCACTGGAAAAGAGAGCAAACAGAATTATACTTTGCAATCCCTTTTCTCTCTTTTTTTAGAACTTAAGAACTTCGTAAGTAAAAGTCTCTCTGCCTAGCAATACTTCATCCTTCTAATACTAAAGGCATTCACAAACATTAAGGCAATGTTGTTGAATATTAGGACATTAGGACAATAGTTTCTTGAAACAGAGGGTGCTGCTTTGAATTATACACCTCTCGTTCACACTAAATAAACACAAATTACACAATTCTGACCTGAATCACTCGGTAATACTTCCACGCTCCAGGCCTCACTTGTGGTTTCTGAGATGGTTGAACCTGTGCAAGGATCAAGCAACACAGATCCTGAACCTGGTAAACACAGCAAGCTGCCTAGCATGTTCTCTGCAGCTGCACCTGCAAAAGTAAAGCAGAAATGCATAGTGACATATATGCTTCCTGAAGACGGATCTTCATGCAAGAGAAAAATAAGACATTTTAAGTATCCTTAAGGTAATAAAGAAAGAATATTGTAAATAAAGAAATGAGTGACCAGACACTATACAGGTCATGTGCAAAATCTTCCTATAGAAAAGATCTTTAATGAATGCAAACACTTATTCAGAAAGAGATGAGAAGAGCTTTGCAACTTGACCATTTTACGGCAAGCATGGAACATTTTAACATATCAGGTGCACAACTGAGTTACCTGCAATTTCTTGTAAACGATCTTCGTCAATATTTGGATCAAAGTCACTACCCAAGACATCTGTACTCCAAGTTTCACTCACAGTTTCTGATATATCTCTGTCATCAGTCAACCCCATCATATCACGGATTTCAAATTTACGGAGCTTGTCATCAAGATTATCCTGAGTTGTGGCTATATGAAAATAAGAAGTACTTAATTTTTTTGAAAGGCCCCTCCAACTACTTCTAATTGAAAATTTATAGGAGTACATTAAAGGAAAAAAAAACAAACAACACAAACTGACTCTGTCAGATAAGATAGCATTTAAAAGTAAATAATAATAAAAATAAGTACAAAACTGTACAAGGTGAGCATTTACTCATTTTTGTCCCAAACTAGTCGATTTCTCAATCTTTTTCCACAGAACTTTGTCTTTCCCACCCACAGCACCACAGGAACTTGCTTCAGAGAACTTGCACCTGCCTTGTTCGTGTTCCAGCAGCTGCAGAGCTTCAACACCATTGCTCCCAGAGGGACCTGCACCAAGCTCTGATACAGACTCCCCTTCCAAATCCAAAGATGATACTGAGTTGGAGCGATTTGAAGGACCTGTGAAAAAAAATATTTTATTGTAAATCTGATTTGAATACCAGTACCTAAATATACAGCATTAACAATCCAGGAGACAATTAACAAAAACAATGAAGAGAAATTAAGTAGTAATCCCAATATAAAATAGCAAACTGATAAACTGTTTCTCTGCTCTCAATGTCTACCTTATAGATACTTAACCTGCACTGTGATTTGTACCTTCACCTGCACAGAGCACCATATGATTATAATAACCTAAAAATACTTCACAAAAGAAGGCTAGAATCTCACTATTACCATACATTGACTAAAAGTCAGTAAAGACATTGTTATTAACACATTTAATTGTTCATTAGCTTGTTCGCTTATTTTGAGAAGAGTAAAAACCATGTGACAGAAGTTATACATAATAATGCCCATTGCAGAATTTGTACAAACTTGTTCAATACAACAGATAAACCCTGCTTTGTTTTGTCTGAGACCCACATAGAAGAACTGTTCTGAGTCCAGAAACCACTGTGGACTCAGAGACACATAATAGTTAATTAAAAGATCATGAAAAAATCTGAGAACTTTAATTTTCAACATAAGTCAGTTTACCTTAATATAAATAGTTCATTTTTTAAAAAAAATCCCCCTGCTTTCATCTTTTAAATATGCTTCTTTTTGCCATAATTCTCAGACTAAGTTATGTCTTTGCAGGTCAAAATTCAGTTCCTAACCTTTTTCTCCGAAGAACTAACAGAAAAGAAAAGCTCTTAGGGTAACACAGCATGATCTTTAAAACAGCAGAAATGACATGCTATGTTTAACAGAAGTTCCTTTCATAGTCAAAAGAAAAAAAAAAGGGACAAAACTTCTTCAAGACTTAAGTAACCCTTCACCTTCAGATATTCCTTCCAGATTATCACTGCAGAGTGAAAAGCGCAAGGTTTTATCAGGTTTACCATGGAGTTTGTTTTCATCAACAGGGACATCTCCTTGTCCACCATCTGCAAGCTGCATATTTAAGACCTGGGGAGTGGGGGAATGAAACAATACTTCCTTAAAATAATCTTTCTTTCCTGATAATTACACAGTAAACAAAACATTGCATACATTTTTGCACAGATTCTTTTTTTTTCCCCTACACGCTAATGGTACAATCAATTTTCTAACATTCCATTTGAAGAAAGTAAAGTTACTTCCAAAGAGCCAGGAAAAAATACGAGGTAACCAATATGTGAACACAAGGCAAATCCTGCTAACAACAGAACCAGTAGCTCCCTCCTCGCCCCAGCTGTCTAGGGTAACACAAACTCACGGTTACACAAGGCTGCAAGAGAAAACAGTCCAACCTATCAGGCAAGATGGCAAAGATGAAAGCAGAATGCTGTTCCATGTCTGCTGAAGGAGGAGGCTGTATGAGCAGCCCTATCCTCAGAGGCGGTCTGAGGGCACTCGTGGCAGCATGGCCACAGCTCTACCTCACAAGAAGCCCAGCTGGGATATGAAAGTCCGAGTTGCCAAAAACTTTGGGATCAGCACTCCAGCGCTGTCATTCACATGTGCCACTCGAGGCAAAGGACAAAGCACATGGGGAGGTAATGGAATTAATTTATGCAGGCCTGGTTTGCTCTTAAGCACGTTAGACGACAAAACCTCTTGATAAATCTGCCAGCTGCATTTTTCCTGTGTTAATATACTGACTTTCAGACCTTGCAGATGTATGAAGTTGTTGGAAAACAACTTCTGAGCACAGGGAGGATTGACAGCTGAAATACTCAAGTTCAGTAAGGCAAACAAACAAAACAAACAAAAAAGTGAGTACTTTAATTCCTGTCCTGGATTTGTTGCCCAAACTCAAGTGCACAGATTCACTGTCCTGCTACTAAAGAACACAGAGGCTGTATTTTTCAAAATATCTGAGCTTTGATGATGTTGCATACCTCATTTTCTGACATCATTCCTGGAGTAATCTGTGGACCTGCTCCCAAAGAAATCACCAGCACTTCTTCCGGCTGAACTTCTGGGATGGTCTCCTGGGAGGACCCTTCATGATCCCCATGCTGATCCATGAGAATATTTGACCTACTTCTGCTACGAGTTGCTAGAAAGTATTTTGAAATATCGACATTAGAAAACTTTTCCTTGTTTAAAGGAAAAAAGACAATAAAATGAAAATACAGAACTGTGATGTTTTCAATTGGTAACGTGCATGCTAACAAACTTATAAAACGCAGAGCCTTACTAGAATTTGAGAGAAGGAGCTAGTCTTTAAAAATCGAGTACTGATGTGTGAAAAGGCAATCTTTGACAGAACGGCTTAGAGAAACAAGGTACATTACATCCTGCTTGCCCACACAAATTTCTACACCAAAGATCAGCACTAATTTCATTAACTTCAATTGGCCCAATCTTCTGACATGAGAATACAAAATAAAACCAAGTAGTAGCAGCAGATTTACCACAGCAGCCACAGAAGAGCTGTTTAGGAGCTGTACTTGGAGGTGGGAATAAGTCATCTGCACTCGTTTTGTTAAAAAGACTATTCCATCCATGTAACTGAAAGGGATCTCAAAAGATACCTCAAGTATAACCAGTAGTCATACGTGCCCACACACAACATAGAAAAACCACGTATCCTCACAACAGTGTGCCACTGGTCTAAACAAACGGGAGGAACATTGACAAAGTACCCAAAAACAAAGATCTCTTGAAAAACAGATTCTGCATTTGTCAAATTGTGCATTTCAATCACAAAAAGACTTTTAGTAAGTTAGTGGAGAACATTAAGAAGTCTGTGACCAACAGAAAAGGACAAGGTTCCTGTGGCTTGAAACTGCAGTTTGTTGAGAAATTTTTCTCCTAAGAAGCAGAGAAAAGCGACTCAAGCAGTTGTCTGAAACACAGATGCAAAGATTCAACATCAGGTGTTGGACTGTTTTGTGGCTCTTAATCAGCCTTTTCAAGTAGCCTCATTTCCCCTGTTTGGCACTGAGAAAGGAAAAATGCCCACATGGAATCAAGGCTGCTAAGTATGGTAGCATGACACCAGCCATTTCTTTATTTCATCTAGGAAAAAACAAGACGAGTGTGCAGAACTAACAGGCCAAACTCTGATTTTAAATTATCACACAAACACACATAAGGTTTCCTGTTTTTTTAAACTACATGTACATACAAAATGAGCTTCATGAAGAAATCAGTGAAGAAATCTGAAAAAGCAACTGAGTGCCAAAGTGAACCAAAGGCATGCTGAGGTATCACGATCGTGTTACAAATAAAGGTTTCACAGAAAAGAATGGAAGGAAGGCATTACCCACCAAAAGGGGTTACTAGAGTTATATGAGCTGAAAGATTGGTAGCAGAGGTATCCCAGGCAGTAATGGCTGCCAATTGCTGTCCTGGATTTCGAAAGCATTAAAATGAAACAAAAGAAATCAAAGTTTTGAGCAACGACACTATTTCATGGTATAAAATAAATGCTACTGTGCCAATACTTCATAGATTTAAGAACAGAGCAAATCAGATGCAGAGTAAAAGCAACATGGGATAGGTTTGTTTGGAGGTTTGGGTTCTGTGCCTCTTAGCTGGCTCCATATAGTTGGATCCCACTACAAATTAACACCAAATCTCTCAAATGAACAAAAACATCCCATGTGGTCATACCCACATTAATATACACCAGAGAAGAGCACCGCACTTCCTATTTCAACAGAAAACATTACGGAAATGAAAAAGTTCAGATTCAGAAATGCTACTGAAAGAGAGGGAGAAAAATAACCACCTAAAACTGCATTACAATATACTACCATAATTACATCAGGCAGATAATGGAGAAGAAAAGAGACAGTCTCTTCTTAACGCACTCTCTGAAAATTCTACTCTTCCTTCTTCCCATCAGCTCCCTCCTAAGACTCAATCATTTTAATTTTACTCTGTCCCACTAACGAAGTGTCAGAGCTTCCATCTCACCACTTTTCTCAGCAAACTTCCCATCTTCAAATTTTCCCATTATTACCCTTTGCACTATCCTGAACAACAGCGACGTCAGCGTTTTTCTCCAGCTCAGTCCAGAGTGGAGACGCTCACTGTGCTTGCATCAGAAAGTGCTACAGATGCCTGTCTATGCAAAAGAAAATACTTCACCACCTACACATGAAAAGTAGCATGAAGGTGCAGCTAAAGAGTACACCTAAAAGAGCACTGAAAAAATGGTAAAGAAAAATGCATTGTGGTATCAAAAAGCATACAAGAAGACTGCTGTCCTTACCTATCGGTAATCGGTTTTTTTTGTTAGCTGGAGTAGTCGCAGGAGAGAGCTGTGGGGTATTATACGGCGTCATTTCAAGGCTGCTACTTTTCCCTGGTTTGTTCTGGGGTAAGTTTGCTAGCAAGTTTTCCAAAGCCATCCGATCTTCCTTAAGTTGATCACTCAACATTACATTTCGCATGAAACTAACCTACAAATTTAGAATTTGTGCTGTTAAGAACTGCAGAGTAAATTATCAGCCCTGTTTATCAACTGCCTGTAAACATATGGGGCAAGTTTATTTTACTTCTTTTTAAAAGCGTAAGAGATTACCAGAGTAGTTAGCTGGCTGTATGTCATGTAAACCACTGTTCTACTCAGCCCCTCCAGAAGGTTGACAGAAGACATGGGAGGAGTTTCAACTGCACGCCCATCAATAACGACATCCAGGAAAGCAGCAACACAGCTCTACAAGGGAAGAAGTTTGGAAACAAAGACCATTTACCAGAGATTAAAAAAACCTCCAGTTCACTAATGCAAGAGCTAAATATTTTACACAGTAATACAAGCTTTGCTTCCTATTTTTAAGATTTCAGGATAAAATACCAGGCGTCATTAAAACCACTGAAAGTAAGGTAAGGAAAACCTGCAGTCAGTTTTAGTACTTCCTTCCGGTCCTTCCCATATTCAAAAATGATAACTCACTTAAGTGTTTCATTGCATAGGAGCAGGTTCAGATTTTCAATAGGAATTACACTGCTTATGGCAAACAATCTGTCCTAAAAAATTTGCTGAGCACAGACTAGAAGTGAAACAAGGAAGCATCGTGCAGCATCACTTTCTAACCTGTTAGTTGTATAATAAATGTGTAAGTTCATACCAATGACACACAACAATTGCAATTAGCAAAAACCTTCAAGTTACATAAACAACTTTTTTTTTTTTAGAAGTATGCAGTAGCAAATCAAAATCCATTCTTTTCACTGTTCTGACGAAGTAACTGCAGAATTGCTATGGAGGACTGACACTAAGAGGGGAAAAGGAGAACAAAAAAAGCAAGAAAGGAATAGAATTTCCTTGTGCTACCAAATTACTTTTTCCAATGCTAGATTTTACACAGAAGTTGTCTGCAGATCTGAGTTTTTTCTTTAGGTTCAGAAGAAAAGCACAGACAGCAATTCAGAGTTTCCACTTGAAAAGGTTAACTTGCTTTAATGTCTTTTCTACATTTCCTTTTAAAAAGCAGCATTATGCCAGAGTAGAATTAAGAATCCCTGAACCTTGAATCTACTACTCAAGATTTTGTTCCCAGCTCTGTGTAGGATTTAATCTGCTTTTCAGTACATGTAACACATAAATCAACTGCTTAGCAAGTCGTTTGCAATGTCTGAACAAAGAAGCTGCAGAAGGATGAAGCACACCCAGGAGTCCTAGCTCCTTTTAGTTCAGACTCTTACTTTGTCGAATTTAGCAAGGTTGCTCTTCATACGTGGATCTCCCTCTTCAGAACCTGTCATTGCCAACTGCTGCAGAAGTCTCCCAACCTGGAAAGAGATGAACTATGAGGAATAAGCGTTTCAAAACAACATGAAGATGGACCCTGCTATAACAATCAGTTAAGACAACTCCTCCATTTTACAAATAATAAAAACCAAAAGTAGTTGTGGCATTTAAGTAGAAAATCTGCATGCACAGCATACTATGTGTGTCCATAATTCCTTCCTAGGAACAAAGCATATTTGTTTTCACAACATAACCTAGATTCAACTCTCAGTTCTCACATCTCAAACCTAGACATTCTGAATGGCTGTATATACTTCATTAAGTGAAAGCTGGAGGAAAAAAAATAGGAAGAGAGCCAACTCCAGGCCAGAGAAAATAATCCTTGTTAATCACCAACTGCAAACCACTCTGTTTTAAAGAGTTGCCAATTGCAAGCTCTGTTACAACCTGCAGGCAGCAACACTGGACAAGATTACTTATGTATCTCTGAAAAATACTGCAAGGCCCTGTTAGTAAAGTGCAGTGAGTTAAATTCACCACAGTAATTTTCTGTGGAAATCACTTACTGTCCAGTTCACAGACTTTTAAAAGCAGGCTGTTATATCTGTGGGGAACATCCTCCAGTAAATGTAATGATGCTTAATGTCATCAGGCAACAGTTCTCTACTCTGTCACCAAATTGTTTGAGATTTACACAAATATTTCTCATGAGGGCTGGGGAATGCCTTAAGGTCTAATAAAACAGAAGGCTGCTACCAGCAGACAAACTGCCCACTGCTGCCTGACAACATTTTTTGCCAAATACCTGGCATAATACAGTGTTACTTTATACACACTCCAGAATTCATCTTAAAGCATAAATGTAATTGAGGCTTCCACTCCTCCTAGCAGCTCTGGTAAAGTATATTTGCCACTTTTGTGAGAGAGAAAGGAATGCATTCTACAGTGCTTTTAAAGTCAGCATTCTAAGCAAACAGGCACATTAACTTTAAAACACGCCTCCTGAGCAATGATGACACAAGTATTATATTAGCATTTGTCTTATCTATAGGATGAACAACGCTCTGTCTTTTAATGTACGACCGACCACCTGTTGTAGCAGAAAAAAACACACCAAGAACATTTCTCTCCATGTCTTTTTTAGACTAGTTCAAAATGAGTCATACCTGCATCAGATTAAATCTCGCCACTTCATTTATAGGAGCATCAGAAATTATCCCATACTGTTCTGGATTAACAATTGCAGGACAGATGAAACATGCTAGGAGGAGATCTGTGCACATTGCTCTGACCTCCCCAACCTCCAATCTGTCTACACACGAGAGCGTTTTGTACATTTGTGACACGATCCATCGCAAGCTATGTGGAAAACAGTACGTATTTTGTTTCAGATAGCCAATGAATTTGTTCACCAAGGTCACCAGCTTCGCTTCATTGGAATCAACCATCTCTTGGACTCTTTGCTTAAATTTTTCTGTGCCTTTCTCTCCAAACAACTTTTCCTGTTGGACTGGAGAGAATCTCTCAATTAATTTGTTTGGATCAGTTTCCAGGTGATCTTCATCTTCAACCAGAAGCTGCATGATTGGCTCATGTAAAGTTGCAGTAAGAAAGAGTTTTGCAGAAAATAGTCCTTCGGAGAAAAGTTTGAATAAGATGCTGAACGCACAAGTGCCTCGTCTCAACAGCCGCCTAGGGTTGTCACTTTCCTTAAGTTCAAATTCGATCAAGTAACGAAGGACCTGCAGGAGGTAGCTCTCATCCTCCTGCATGATGCAGTTGCCATAAATGGAGGTAAAGACTGTGTGAATGACACTCTGGGTGTTGTCCTGGTTGAGCTTCTCTCCAGCAACCAGACAGGACGCGATAAGCCTAGGGTTCTCTCTCAATCTGTTTAGGAACTCTCCATAAGCAGTCTCCTGAAATCCCAACTGCTTATATCCATCCACAAACTGCGTATCCTCCAAGATTTTAGCATGCTGACAGCATTCAGCAGGAGAAGCTTCCGCACTTAAAGAAAAACATTGAAACACTCTAAGTAAACTCTTAAGCAAACAAATTTACCAGATGTCACATAGCCAATCTGTTCACACAAAAGATGTCTTTCCACATAGTTAACCCAAATGATTTCCAAATTCAGGAATAAGAACAGTTTGTTCCCATAAACCACAAAGAGCAGTAAAGCAAATACACACATTAGAAAGATGGTAGTTTAAGCAGACAACAAACAAGTCTCTGGTGAGTCAGATACCTCAGTTTAGATTTGTTTTTAAAAAGTACTGTTTTTGTAATTAGTACAGCAAAGGACTCTAGAGAGTGACAGTGTGAAAAATCTGGTAGTTTGCTGCAATTCACAGAAGTTCAGGTATCTGTTCTCCCCAGGGCCACCACCCCTCCAAGTCACCTTGTTATGATCAGTCTGTCCAAGTTAATCCGTTGCTGCTTGGAAATCCATGCTGTGCGGTACAACTTTTCAGCTGTCTTCAACACGTCTGCATTCAGCCTCTGAATAAGTTGCTTTTCTGAGTTTACATACAGTCGTTCCTGCTTGAGGTGATGAGCCAGTGTGTGTATATCCAGCTTCACCATCTTTGACAGCAGACTACACAGCTCTCACTGAAAGAAAGGAAAAAAAAAATGAAATCAGTGAATTCCAACAGTAATGGAAACAAGTTCTGTCAGCCCCAGCAAAATAATAAGCATAAGTAACAAAGTAAGGAGGCCATAAGCTTAGCAGTAAATACTTCTGTGCCCATTCTGCCTCCATGTAAGGTTTTCTAACCGCCAGTTTCATTAACACCTCGTCACGTCAGCACACCAGGAACACTTGCACAGCAGCCAGTGGTATCTCCAGCTCACACTCACCAACTGAAATAGCGATACAGTGCCACACCACAAGGCTACACCGCACTCCAGCACAGAGTAAAGAAATGGGCTGGAGGAGAGCTGCAGCCAGTGCCATAGCCTAGGTGAGACAAGCTCAGGGAGACAGCGAGGAGTCGTCCCATTGTGCCACCTGCATGGTGCACAGGGAAGAAGTTTTGTGCTTTCTACTTTCCACTAAAGCACAACGCGTAACACAGCGCTGTGCAAGGACGTGGGCAGTTCTCTCCAGACTGCTACAACAAACGTCACCTCTCACCTTTGTGTAACTGGACTTCTTTGCTAGACAAATAAATTAATTGCAAGAAAAGGCAGCAGCTGGAAATAAGTCTGGGGATGCTGCTCAGCACTGGAACTCATTCAGAAAAATTTCCTCAAATATTTCCACTTGTATGAGTCTTTTTAGATAGCCAATCCAAAAGTGTATTTTAAAGAGAGAAACTGAAACAAGCAGAGGTTTTCCTATCACAGCAGTGTCAAAATAAGCCAATCAATCAACACTAGCCAGTGTTCTGTTCCTAACTGTGAAGTCAGAGCTTACACTTGTTACCACTATGTGAGCAGGAGACTTCAGTACCAGGCAGAACAAGTTCAAGCAGCAATCCATCTAAAAGTTAACTCAACTGAAGAAAAAATAACATAAATTGCATAATGTTGACATGGGAAAGGGTAAAATCCCATAGATCAGATTATGTCTGCATGGAATCATTAACAGCCACAGGGCTTCTTCTTCACGAGAATTAACAGCAATACTAAATAATATGGGAAGAAAAAGGGTTTGGTCCATATATAATACATAGCTGTCAGACACACTGGCAATGGCTACATGACAGCTGTCAGAGGGACATGGTGGAGAACCCTTGAAAGCTGTGCTAAAGTTAAACAGAAAACTTACTTCCCATAATCTGCAGCCATCCCAGAGAATCCCAGCTCTACAGGACCATTTATTCCATGCTAGAGAAACTACAAATAATTTACCAGGCACTCTCTTTTAACTGTTTTAAAGATGTGTGGTTCACTGCTCAGCAAAGCAGGAGATGATCTTCTCTGAAGAATACAGATTAGCTCCCTAATCAGGCAAGGTTTACATTTGTTGGTGCTTGTTGGTGTTTTTTTCCTAGTGTGAGAGCCTGATAACCAGGCATGCTGGCAGCTATGGCCGCTCCTCTGCTTGTAACTATGTCAGGTTAAAACTATAAATGAAAGAACAAAAACGCTAGCAGAGACAGAAACAGATTCTGTCACATGTCTTCATGCATTCCTAGCAAATACAGACAAACCTGTATACAAAGCTCTCTTTAAAAAGGAAAAACAAGCTAACAAAAAACCATGACCCTAACCAGTGGTTACAGCTCATGCATATCTGCTATTCAAAGATGAAACTGAGCAAGGAACTTCAAGGATGCAGTGATTCTGATGTGTTTAACTAGGGCAGTCTCAGACAAATGATTAGAAAAAAGAAACGCTGACATCACTAAAGTTCTAAAGTTCTTTGAGAAGTGAACAATAACTTCTTGCAACTCATTTTTATTTTTAGTCACAGAATTTTAGGGCTTTCAGGAAAACAGCACCAAACTTGATATTGTCTGTAAAAACTGACTTTTGTTTTGGACTATCACCTGTTGATATCAACTAGGGAAAAGAATCCATTTAACTGTACCTACTATGATATCTGTGGAACTACCTTCTGTCTTTTCAGGTGCTTTCCAGTGTAAAGCTGTATTTAGTGGTGCTCATGGTTTACCAAACTTTAACAGTTTTAATTGCCCATTGGAAGGTGATCACTTGGAAGCTCTACATTTCTGAACAGAAAGTTAGCTCAGGTGGTTATCCTCAAATTCCAGTCAGCACAAAAGATAACAGCAGCCTGGAAAGAATACATTATTTCTAGTAAGCAACCATTGATGCAGCTGTTAGATTGCCAGTAACTTCTTCTAGAGCTAAGGGCAATTAATCAAAAGAGAAATTAAAAAAAAAAAAAATCAGCTAATACTCAGAAAGCAAGTACAACTCCCAGATAGTCTGGAGCCCAAATAGGCACGTATATAACGTCTGGTCAGCAGACAAAAAGCACAACAGAACAGCAGGAAAGACTTCCACAGAACACTACTGCGATTTGTAACGTCACCTATCGACACCTTATCAATCTGCCACTATCTTTGAGTCTCTTCTCTATCTGCACCACAGAACACAAACGTAATGAAAGTGAGAGGAGAACTGCTTTGAAACTGAGCTGTGAGAGGTCAGTAAGGACAACTGTTTTCTCAGGAACTGTGAAAATTCACAGGGCAACATGCTGACTGTCTGACAACAGTTTGTGCCCTACGTACACGAGAAAGGGATCAGCAGCTTCCTTGGCTTTATAGTCCTCCAAAATATTAAACTTGCTGGCAACTACCAATTGCTACCAAAATATCTCTGTAGATGAGGAATGCCTCATTCACTCCTATTACCAGTTTTTAGAAACTAATTATTCCACAGACATGCAAGCGTAGCAAGTATCAGTGCAGACAAGTGGGTGTTCACCTTCCGTGTCTGGCAGACGTCTGAGAAACTAGAGATGGAAAGCTGGAACTGTGACACATATGGACCTTCAGCAGCCTTCAGACTCACTCTAAAGAAAGCATACAGCACAGTCAAAAACAAACCAACCAACCTAGTTAAGCAAAATGCACGTCATCACTCTCTTCACACATTGGTATTCACATAGCCTATATCTGAAAAGAAAAACTACTCTATCACTAATATACCTACATGATGCACTGCTCCCCTCCAAAAACCCCTTCCCTTCATGATCAGTACAAGCAGACATCAGCTGCATTCTTTAACCTTCCCACGCCGCACAGCATTCACGCCATGCCAGAGCTCAGGACAAGAGCTTTAAGAAGCAATTAGCCACACTTACGTATTTGGCAATGCACTGCAGCAGGCGGTAACAGAACAAACAGAACAGACAGAACGGCAGCCACCTCAGCTGCTACTAGTTCCTGTTTATCAGCTTCTCACAAATACAGAAGCCACCCAAAATTACCCAATTACCTACTGTACAGCAATCATCCGTCGGACTTGAAATAAAAAGTGTCTGTGTGCAATTGTATAAAGGAGGAGGCTTAGGAAATTTAGAAAGCCCACCATCTGATGCAGTTGAAGAAACAACAGATATTAAATAACTCCTGCTATCTGCAAACTATTTTTCAATCCTGGTAACTTCATTTTGATACAAAAATACTTCAATTCTTGTAAGACCGCTTAATAAGCTACTAACTGGAAAACTTATTGCAACAATTCAAACAATTTCACCTCACGATGCCCCACCACAACAGACTGTGTGAGCTGACAGCATCTAAGATGCCTTGCCCTACTATCAGCGTGCCCTGAGTTCTTCAGAATGCAAGGCAATCTATGCCTTTGGTAAACATGGACATAAACTGCTTCTTGCATTTAGAAGTCTCGTAAAGCACTCCCTTAATCTCTGGGTGCTGAACAGCAGCACACACAGCATGTGTTTTGTACTGTGGCACACAGAAACAAGTGGCACCTCTGTTACACATTTCTTCAGTTCAGCTGACAGAAAAGAGTAAGCAAAGCAGCGAACACTGCCACAGTACACTAAATTCTTCTTCCTCCTCCAACATTTCCTGCTCAGGGTTATTTGTTCTTCCTGTGTCTGCTAAGCATACTCAGCTTCCAAAGCAAGTTTGGGCAGATCAGCTGCAGGGAGGGCAGGGCAAGGCCAAACTGAGATCGTTCCTTCTTACTGAGAAAGAATTCCTAAGCAAGATTGAATAGCTTTCATGCTAATTTACCCCAGATGAAAACATCCCATCTTCATTAACATCTATAGTAACAACAAACAAGCCTTCTTTACGTAAGCTAACAACCTATCTCCTAAAGCTGAGCTAAAAAAAAAACCAACATTTTTCAGTTCACCATGACTTAGGATTTACCTGCTGGACCCTCACATTACAATGCCCACCACATCAAAACACTCAACGTGCAAAATGTATTTCAATTTGCTGCAATTCAACTATCCAACCAACATTAACATGAAACACGTACCTCGAGTTTGCTTCTGCTCAGCGGCTGCTGTGCAACCGACACTGAACACAAGATCTGCGTGCAAGAGCACTTCATTTCTCGGGTCCCTTATTAACAGGGCGTATCAGGAAGGCACAGGCTCAGCTGCCTCCTGGGTTGTCAGCTGCGGCATCACTGCGATGCACGAGAGTCAACAGGGGCACGTAACCACCAAAACCTGCTCCAGCAGCTCGTGCTGTTAGAAAGAGTTGCCCGCCCTACGTAATGAGTCACACTAATTAACTTCCCGGCAGAAGAGCAGAACCCGAAGCTGGCAGTTCCGCAGCCCCCACGCAGGCTGCCCGCTCCTCGGGCGTTCTCCAGGACCCGCGGTACCACGCAGCCAAACCCACACCTACAGCACCTGCGACACCCCGCAGCCCACCGCAGCGCAGCCGCTCTGAAGCCCTTCTCCTGAAGCCAGCAGCGCAGCTGACGCCGATTTGCAGAAGCGAGCTTCTTTCAGATCCCCCCAAGCGCAGCTCCCGCTCGAGGCGCAGCTGCACCGCGCGGCTCCACCTCGGCGGCGGCACAGCCCGCTCCTCCAGAGCGCGCCGTCGTGACTTTGCAAGAACGAGAGACGGACGCTGGCCTGACCGAAGTCCTCCGGCACGAAGCCTCTCAGTGACAAAAAAAGGAAGTCACGACCCGCCCAAGTTACAAGTTCCAAACCTCCGTCAGACGGAACCCGTCAACCCGGCGGTCCCGGCGCTCGCGCCGCTCCGCAGCCGCGCCGTCCCGCCGCAGAGCACGAAGGGCCGCAGCCGCGCAGCGCTCCGATTGGCGACCGCCCGGCGCTAACATGGCAGCGGGCGGCGGGCGGAGCGCGGCCCACTCCGCTCCCGCGGCGCGGACTGCGAGCGCGGCCCCCGCCCGGCGCTGGGAGCCTCCCCCCGCCCGGGGAACGCGGACGAGATCGGCACCTCGGCGTGTCGGCCTGCTCCTCGCAGCGCTTCCCGCTCGGCTCCCTGAAAAAGCAGAGGGGGGTCGGTCAGGCCCGGGCTCCGCGTTCCTTTCCTTCCCCTCCCCTCTGCTCCCTTCCCCCGCGCCGCCGGTGGGGATCCGAGCGGCGGTCCCGGCCGCGCGGGCTGCGAGCTCTCTCCCCTACCCGGCCCCGGCTCCGCCGCCGCCCGGCTCCGCTGCGGCCCCGAGCCAGGCGCGGCGCGGCACTGCGCAGGCGGCGGGCGGCGACGCCGCGCTCCTGGGACATGTAGTCCCGCGGCCATGCGGCCCCGCGGGCACCGAGCCCCGGCCCCCGTTCTTCCTTCAGCCCCCACGAGGCTGCGTTACGGCGGAGCATCTCTGATGTGGGGCCGCTGTTGGGTGGCGCGGGGAAAAATCGGGCTCGGAGCGGTCACTTCACGCTGCTTGGCGCTGATGGGCACCACTCCCTGGGGCATCCGGACGGACGCTGCCCTTCTCCCGCAGCTGCTTTACAAGGAAGGGCCGTAGGGCTCGGCCAGCCCTGCGGGTCGAAACGCACGGTGACGAGTAGCAGAGCATGCAACGTGTAACAGCGCTGCGTGGAGCAATCTGCCTCACGTAATAGCACTGCTTAATCATAACCAGCATCACATGCGACTGCACGATCAAAGCTTGAGCTTTGGTTGATGGTCACAGACTGATTTTAACTTTGCCCTCCTTTTTCAGCTGTCCCAAGATCCTCAGAAAGCACAGAGCTCACTGGCTGCCCACGAGATGGTGCCTTGCACAGCTTCACTGTGGGAAGCAGGAGACTGAGATCAGGCAGCTGAACATACAGGTACGGCCCAACCCACCCGTGCTCCTCATAACGCATGTAGCTCAACTAGAAATACCAGGGAAATCTATGTCTTAGGACATAATTTATTACACACACAAAAAAATTGTTCTAACAGAGGTATTAAAAAGCCTAAGAAGCTTACTCTCTTAAAGAGAAAAAGGGCTGCACCATTTGCAGCCCAGCTCTCACTTGGGCACCTTGTTGCAGTGTGGAATGGTAGCAGTAAGCCCAAACCCAGCATGCTGTGGTCAGGGCATGGCATCTGGGCTGCAGCAGGGGCAGGGGTGACTCAGGTGGGAAAGTAACACTCCTCAGTCACCACCATTGCTTTTTCATGCCTAAGCCATCTGCAGAGCTCTTCTCTGTGTCAGTTCAGCACAGCAGCCACACAGGTGTTTTGTATCTCTCAATCTCCAAGCTATTATGTGTGTGCCTGTTTCATAGCTGACACAGTTACAGCTTCAAATCCTCTCCTCTGATAAAACAATGCCTTACGTAATTTTAAATATCCAAATGACATTTTAAAAACAACCATGGCACACAAAAATCTAACAACAAAAAAAAGTTCCTTGAGCCCAAACACACACACCAACAAAGCACTACGTCTGTGCGACACAGCCAGCTGCCACGCCGTGCTCCTGGCCGTAGTGCAGAACACCGGCTGTGTTACAGCATCACTGCCCTAAGAGAACTGAGGGGAATGAGCCTGAGGCCTGCAAGCATCAAGATGTCCCCTTGTCTGCACATGGTTTCCCAGGAAGGGATAAAGTACGTTAGGCACCGCTCTCAGGATACGCAGCTGTAGCAAAGACAGTTCTTTAATAAGGCTAAGCTCAGTAATTTGCATCAGGATTCTTCAAAGATGTGAATTCAATGCAGAAATAACTGAGTAAAAGCAAGAAATCCACGATATACAGAAGACTCTGAAATATACTCCCTAATAGGAAGAGCAGCATCCAGGTGAGCAGTGGGGTCACAGCAGTGCAGCGCCCCGCAGTGCCGCCCTCAGCGCGGGGCAGCGCCACGGCTGCGTTGTGACGGAGCGCAGCTCGGGGCCGTCTTTGGAGCCAGGCTTTTGCACAGCCCGGAATTATTTTTGTTACGACTCAGCCCTGTTATCACCCGACGGTTAACACCTCCCGTGTTCTCACGTCACGACCAACCCGAGGCACTCGTTTCCTTACGCTGGCCTCAGACACGACCCCCGGCCCGCTGTGTGGAGGTGCGGCCCTGGGTCAGCCCGGCCCGGCGCTGATGTAACCCGGCGTAACATCGGGGCGAGGCGCGGCCAGCCGGTGTCCGGGCGCCAGCCGCCTGCAGGGCCGGGCCCCGAGCCCACGGGCTGCGTGCCGGGCAGGCGCTGCCGGCACGGACGGCGCCGAGCCGAGCTCTGCGGAGCTACGGAGAGCCCGCCCGTCACCTGGGGCCCCACAGGGCCGAGGCAGGGCGCGGCCCTCTGGCCTGATCAGCCCGGGCCCGGCTCTCCTTCTTCCGCCCGGGTCTCCTCGGTCTCCGCCGCGCTCGGCCGAGACGGCTCGCCGTCGCCAGTCCTCCCCCCCAGCACCGGGGTCGGTTACCATGGAAACTTCCAGAACGTGTTCCCCCCCCCCCCTTTCCGTTCCCTACCCTGGCCTCGCCGTCGGCCGCCCCCAACCAATGGGCTTCTTCCGCTTGGCTCACGCTTCTCTGTTGATTGGCCCGCGATACCGGCGGGGTGAACCAATCGGGTGGCAGGAGGGGTGCGCGCCAGGCATGTCAGAGCGACCGCCCGCTCTTCACCAATCAAGGAAGGCCAGCTTAGTAGCAGCCGGCCAATGAGCGCGCTCCAGCGAGGGCTCTGTGGCCAATGGCGAGCCTCCACGAAGGAGTAACGAAGGATATATAAGGGCGTGCGGCGCGGCCTGGGTGTTCAGCGGCAGTTGGAGACGCGGCGGTTCGTGTGTGACGGTAGGGGCGGTGGCGGGGCCTGGTGCGGCCTGCCGGGACCGGCGGGGCCTGGTGGGTGGTGAGGGGCGGCGGGGTGGCGGCTGCGGAACCGGACTGAGCCCCGTGGGGGGGGCAGTGAGGCCGGGTTGGGTCGTCGCGCCGCGCATGTGGCGCCTCCATTTTGTGACCGGCGTCCCTTGGCAGGGCGGCGAGCGGGCGGCATGAGGCACCTCCTGTTGGCGCTGCTGCTGCTGGGCGGCGCGCGGGCGGACGACGAGGAGAAAAAGGAAGACGTGGGCACTGTGGTGGGCATCGACCTCGGCACCACCTATTCTTGGTGCGTAAGGAACCGTCTGTCGTGGGGACGGGCATCGCGGACATGGGGATCGGGATGGGGGGGGGGGGGGGGGGGGGGGGGGGGGGGGGGGGGGGGGGGGGGGGGGGGGGATGGATGGATGGATGGATGAAGGAGCTGTGGGCCCCGGGGAGGGGACTGGCAAGAGCAGGATGGGGGAACCGTACTCCTGTGCTGTCTGACCGCTCCGTTTCTCCTTCAGCGTGGGTGTCTTCAAGAACGGCCGTGTAGAAATCATCGCCAATGACCAGGGGAACCGCATCACTCCATCCTACGTGGCATTCACGCCTGAGGGGGAGCGCCTGATTGGGGATGCGGCCAAGAACCAGCTGACGTCCAACCCTGAGAACACTGTATTTGATGCCAAGCGGCTCATCGGCCGCACCTGGAATGACCCCTCGGTGCAGCAGGACATCAAGTATCTGCCCTTCAAGGTATGCCTCATGAACGGGTTGGGGGGGGGAGTGGAAGGGTTCTAGCTCTTGTGGTCAGGAGTGGGCTATAGGACTGCAGGAGCTGTGCATCTCTCTTGACCTGGGGGGTGGGGGGGTATGATAGGTAAACAGTAGTGCTGTTCTGAGCAGTCTCTTGTCTTACAGCCTTCCTAAGAAGGGTTATTGATGTCCAGAGTGCAGACTCTGTTTAAGAACGCCTGGAATATACTAGTCTGTTTCTCATTTCAGGTTGTTGAAAAGAAAGCTAAGCCACATATTCAGGTTGATGTCGGTGGTGGACAAACAAAAACATTTGCTCCTGAAGAAATTTCTGCCATGGTCCTGACGAAGATGAAAGAAACTGCAGAGGCTTATCTGGGGAAGAAAGTAAGTTTGAATACTTCTAACAGGAACTTAAGACAGCAGTTTTAGAAAAGCTGAAGATAACCTCGTGGTCCCAGACTTTGTTCAGTGCTGTTGGCTTCTTAGGCAGCCCAGTTGGATGGGCTCAGCTAAAATGATTTCTTGCATCAGTAGCGATAAGATTATTTCTAAGGTACATAGCTTTCCGTAATCTAATTGTTCTATTTTCTGCAGGTTACTCATGCTGTTGTTACTGTACCAGCCTACTTCAATGATGCTCAGCGTCAGGCCACGAAAGATGCTGGTACAATTGCTGGATTGAACGTGATGCGCATTATTAATGAGCCGTAAGTAGCCTCAACTACCTTGTCTGCTGGTTATCTGGGAGTGGGGTCTGGTAATCAAAAGTTTCCTGAACTGGTTACTTCTATACAGAACAGCTGCTGCTATTGCATATGGATTGGACAAGAGAGAGGGTGAGAAGAACATCCTTGTATTTGACCTGGGTGGTGGAACTTTCGATGTCTCCCTCCTGACAATTGACAATGGAGTCTTTGAAGTTGTGGCTACGAATGGTGACACACACCTGGGTGGAGAAGACTTTGACCAACGTGTTATGGAACACTTCATCAAACTCTACAAGAAGAAAACTGGGAAAGATGTCAGGAAGGATAACAGAGCTGTACAGAAACTAAGACGGGAAGTAGAGAAAGCCAAGCGAGCCCTGTCATCCCAGCACCAAGCTAGAATTGAAATAGAATCCTTTTTTGAAGGAGAGGATTTCTCTGAGACGCTTACTCGTGCCAAATTTGAAGAACTGAATATGGTAAGCTTAGAAAGCTAAAGTTACATTCCCTGAGCTCCAAATTAGTGACTTGCTAGTGGTGGTGTGCTGTTTCACGTAACTTAGTTACATTTAAACAGAGTAAAAATAACTTG